GGAAGAAAGTTAATCAATAGCTCTGCAGAAGTCCAACTTGTTAACTATAAGAAACAGTGTCCTGCAAAGCTCTGAAATAAAGGTATTTCTAATGTCAAGGTGAATTCAAATTCACATGATCTTTCACAAGAGTTGTAGTCCTCATTAGGAATAGCCACAGATCTGGTAGGCTTCAGCTGGACAGCTGAAGTTAAACTCTAGTACAGCTGCTCATCTTGTATTTGGATTAAATCAAAGCTGAGATAAAAGTCACACCAAAGTAGCAGCCAAGACAGTAACCAAACATCACCATTCTGCAAGTCAGAAGTGCTGTAACTCTGGGCAACCAGCCTTGCTAGCCAGGGTGGTAAAACAGAATGATTTTTCTGTTTAATAGTTGATATTATCAATATTTTCTTGTCCTTATGGGCCTACTGAAACAAGTCCAGAGGAGGCCATGAGGATGACCAGAGGGCTGGAGCACTTATCCTATGAGGACAGACTCAGAGTTGGGGTTGTTAAGCCTGGAGAAGAGAAGGCTCTGAGGAGACCTTCTAGAAGCCTTCCAGTACCTGAAAGGGCTCCAAGAAGGCTGGGGAGGGACTTTTCATAAGGGCAGTTAATGACAAAACAAGGGGAAATGGGTTTAAACTGGAAGAGGGGAGGTTTAGATTGGATATGAGGAAGAAATTCTTTGCTGTGAGGGTGGTAAGACACTGGCCCAGGTTGGCCAGAGAAGCTGTGGCTGCTCCTCCCTGGAGCAGTTCAAGGCCAGGTTGGATGAGGCTTTGAGCAACCTGGTCTAGTGGAAGGTGTCCCTGCTGATGGCAGGGGGGTTGGAACTGGATGATCTTTAAGGTCCCTTCCAACCCAAACCATTCTATGATTCTATGGAATAAACCTCAAAACCACATGAATTGAAAACCCAGGGGAGGGAAAAAAAAAACAAACAAAAAACCCACCACCACACCTTGCAACTTTGTGTCTGCAAGATACTCACCTCGGCTTAGCTTTCATCCTTGGAGATGGAGTTTTGGACTTTTTTGCTGAAGGAGGCAAGCAAACTACAGCTTCACCCTCTGGAGCTACTATTAAAACACTTTATCTGCTTTTGCTGTTAAGTCCACAAAAGCAGAGCCTTCACTGTGTCACCTGGGTGACACTTAACTGGGTCAGACTTGAGGAACTGAAGGGAGTCATGCCTAACCTGAGCCTTGGTTAGTATCTTCTGTCTCAGTCTGTTGGCTCACTGTAATCACGGTGACACCAGAGTTAACAGTTTTCTGCTTGGAGAAATGAAACCATGAACAGAACATATGACCAATAAAGAAGTGGGATTATATATATATATATATATATGTATTTGTTTTTTAGGAACAGAGATTTTCAGTGCTAAGCCTGTGGCAACAGCTGGATGACAGGTTCATCATTAGCCACGTATAAAACATTTTAGGTAGCAAATAAGTGGATACTATGAGCTTCTCATTAAGAGCATCCCACCATCCTCTTATAATATGGAGTAAAATTCCTTCTTTCTTTTTAAAGCAGTTTTGCCAAAATTGCAGCTTTGGAAGCACATGTTTGGGCTGACTTCTCACAAGTACAAAATGGAACTTGAAAATACTGTCAGATCCAGCTAAAAACTAGAAGATTTTAACTACACATCTCAAAAAAACACCTGGAGGAGGGGGAAAGGGGACACAAGGACTGTTTCACCATACACCAAACACTTACTGGTATGGTGCCTGTTAACTGTTGGCCGTGCTGAGAGGTTAAGTTGTCTGGTAGAGAGTCCATGTTCTCAGAGTTTGAAGGATCTTTCCTGCCCTGTGAATTAGTAGATTCTGGTATCACTGCAGAACAGAAGTGGGATGAGAATTCAGTTGCAGTAACTGAACACACACACCCATTTCCTTTCCATTCTTACACACGTGCATAAAGGCAAAACAGCACAACAAACACTTCAAGATCTTGTTTAACAGAACAAAACCAAACATCTCCAGATTACCTAGTGCAGAACTGCAATACTAAATTAGCAGCATCTTGACCCTACCCCTTCTAAACCCCTCATACTATATGACTATGACTAAGTTTATCATCTTATTACTATCTTGATTCTTAGCTTTAGAAGACACAGAAGAATCCTTTGTGTCTGGCTAAAGCAGGATCTTCCACCATCTCTGTTTTCCTCCATTTAATCTCCACCAGGCACTGCAAAGGTTGTTTCACCCTTTGTACTCCTTGATTGCTTCAAGTAGTAGTGCCCACCTTGTACCTCTGTGTGTGCTTCATGGTAGACACTGATGAGGGAGCTTCTCCCTCACCTACACCTCCAGAATCTGGAGGATTTCCATTCTACTTAATTTGGAGTTGTAATTGGAGGAAAATGGGAAGGACCACTGAAAAAAGTTACTGTCTCGGACATCTAGAGATAAAAGTAGCTCCTTCACCTGGAGGAATCCAAAATGCACAGTAACTAAGAGTAAAAAATTACTTTTAACATAGGCACAGAAAGAATGTTACCTAACCTAAGGGCTCTTCAAACTTGAGATTTATTTTGTGAGATGTTGGACGGTAGGAGTAGAAAAAGAGCTGCAAGTTCATTGTCTTAGAAGACCTGGAAAGATCTGTTAAGCAAGTTACACCGAGGAATAATCCACACAAAAATAATCACTTTAAAAACTGAAGTACAGCCAATTTTGCAGCGAGGACATATCTCAACCTTCAAAGAGAAAAGATCACCATACAGAAAAAAGCCACCTCCCTAATAATTTGATACTGAAATTGAGCTGAGGAAACATTTCCTGTTTAAGACCAGTTTGATCATGCATGTCTTGCTTTTGTGCTGAAAGCAGCTTTTCCTCAAGCTATGGGTCACAGTTTTGATGGGAATTTGCAGAACTTCAGAGCAGCGTAGAGGGAAAAGAAGGAGCTATTTTCTCTTCCCTTTGGACAAGTGCTGGGCTCAGACCTTCCTTTGGGTCAGGCACTGAAGCATCAGACCTGTACTTCAGGCTCTTTGTTCCCTCAACATCTACCATATTTGGAACAAAATTAAACTCAGTCCAACGATCCTGGAAGGAAACATCTTGTAGGAGATGTTCACTGGCAGCACGGGAAGCGACATCATTTTATGACAGAAAATTTAATGTGCCCAACTCAAAGAAACACGAAGCATTGGCTGTAGGCTGGTGAGAAGGAGGAAATAAAGGCTACTCCAGGTCCAGCCAGAAGTCTTCCTACTGTAAGGCATGCAGCTACATTTGTAGTTGGGGTGCACACAGAGACAGCCCTGTGGCACGAGGTATTTATGGCAGCAGACCCCATTGCACCACAGCTGCAGGTGGAGGAACACTACTGCACACTCTTTGCACATCAGAGGTCTGCCAGCAGCTGAGATGTGCCTTGCCAGGCTTCCTGCCAGAACATGGATCCAGCCTCCATGAGATATTCTTCTGCCCATGCTATCTCAGCAACTCATGGCCTTGACACCCCACCCTTGCTCTCCAGGCTAGAAGGACTCAGTGTCAGCCACAAACACCAGTTACCAAGCTCACGAGATACAAAGAGTAGAAGATTGAGCCTGGGGGTTACTTTTATTTTTATTTTTATATATATATATAGTGTTTGACTGAAGCTGTAGACTACAAGTGAAGATACTCGTTTTAAAACTGAACAATCTAAATTTCATTAAATAAATAATTTTTTTAAAAAATCACCTGCTTCACTCTTCCTGGTTTGCTTCCCAGTGTGGGCAGACTCCTCTTCAGTCACATTTATCTGTTGGTGTGAATTAATCTCATGTGAAAGTGACCTTAAAAAAAGTAAAATCTTGAACTAGTAAAATCAGTTACTTAATAACGTAACTACAAGCTGTTAATCACCAGCCACAAATCATTGGATGCTAATTGAGTTGACCATTTGCAAAGTGTCTTGGCTTCTGCAAGGATAAGTGACAGCCACTATACGATGGCCATTTACTGTCATGTAAGGTTTTCTGCAAACCCCAAGGTCTCTGGATGAATCACAAGTATAAAAAATTAACCACATTAACATTTAAAAAAAGAAATCGCACATTTTTACATTAGCTTATTAAAAAAAATGATGTTTTAGAAGTAGAGTACTTTTAATCTAGAAGTACTATCTATCTACAAAGTCAATTTCAGATTTGTGTCTTGCAGCATCCCTTTTCTCCAGGTTCTCATGTCACAATTGGCTCATCCCGTGCTATGTAACGCTTTGAGCTAATGTAAGAAAATATTTCTACTTCAAGTTATGCAATTAAATGCCATAGGCTTTACTTCCTACTTCAGAAACTCAGTAAAAAAAGCCATATCACACTGAATTGATTAACAAACCAGTTCAACCATCCAACTTCTAAACCACAAATTCGAGCCCCCTGACACTTCTTTCCTAAAGCCTCTAATCTCTTACAGGGCCAAAGCTAAGGACATCTATATGGAGAGTCACAAATCCTCAAGGGGAGGACAGATATCTAATAAATAGACATGAAAATACTGGATGTGTTTGCCCAGTGTATATCAAGTAAAATAGAAGTTTAAAAAAGAAAAAACCTTCTTGCTCAGAGCTTACCATCATTTTTTCCTCTCCCAGGACTTTTCTAAGTACGCTTAAGATTTCAAACTCAGCACTGAAAGATATTTTGATTTTTGTTGCTTCTGTTTTGTTAAGAATAGTAGGAATCTTCATGTAAATTTTAACAATTTTTTCTCCACCTTCCTCTGTGTAAAAAAAAAAAAAAAAAAAAAAAGAAAAAGAAAGAGAAAGGCAGTTAAATCTGTTTTAGACCAAAACATTCAGTTTATCACCCCAAAAACATTTGGGTGTTTGGTTGGTTTTTTTTTCAAAACAGTCTCTTTTACAACTTGCCCATGCATTTCCAATTACTCCCTTCACCCACTTCTTTCTCATTGCATCTAGATGATTATGTTATTCTCTAGCACATCTATAAACTGACCCCTCAACACATCCTGCTTGGGCAGGAAGGGTAGGTTATTGGGCTAAATGGGCCAACAGACAACTCAATGAGCAGAGCTGGTCAAGGTGACCATCAAAGGGCAGGACAGGGAAAGGGAAGAAGACAAAGAACTCCCTGGTGATGGTGAGATTTTGGGTCGACTCCATGTGTTTTGTAGACCCACAGCCAAATGGAAGATAATGCTGACTGGAAAACCTTACCTTTCAGGCTGTAACTGCTGACTGCTTCCTTCGACAACCTCACAGAGTCCCAAAGAGCACCCTTTGAAAAATCAAAGCCACCACATCAGAAGGGCTGAGCGAGCACCCACTGTACTAGAATCATAGTGGTTGGAAAAGACCTTTAAGATCATTAAGTCCAACCATAAACCCAACACTACCAATCCCACCTCTAAACCATGTCCTTAAGCACCTCGTGTACCCATCTGTTAAACACCAACAGGGAAGGTGACTCCACCACTTCCTGGGTAGCCTGTTCCAATGCTTGATCATCCTTCCAGTGGAGAAGTTTTTCATCATATCCAATCTAAACCTCCCCTCGCACAAGGGATCTAAGGTAACCCAAGGCCATATGGGCTTTGCTGTTACCTCACTTCCATCCATATAGAAGGTCACGCTCTGGCTGCCAGCGTTGAAGTCAATCCAGAACTCCTCCAGCTTCTCGTCCGATGGCTTCTTCACCTGAGGAAGCACAACAGTGCTGCAGTTCCCAGAAAAACACCACAACTGCTGTCTCATTCTCAGTTTTCTTTAACTAGGCAAAATTGGAAAAAATTGTCCTACATGCATGCACACACACGCGTAACTTAGAGAAATAAAAGGTGGGATCAACCTGCTAGTTGCCAGCCTACCACTCACCCAACCATACCCATAAAGTCAGTCAAGGTTCTACATCAGCCAAGGGAAGGGCAACACAGAAATGCTCGCATGGTTGTGCCAGGAGAGTCTGAAAATTTTCTGTGTTTCTGAGCACTTGAGATAAGCAGCAGCAGTGGAAGTGGCTTCCATTGATTTGGGTTTGAGTTGATACAATTGTCAGGAACAGTGCCACAAATACATTTATTTAAAGACCGGTACAGCAATCTGCAGGATCTGTAACTGCAGCCATGACCTCTCTCACATGGGCATCAGGCTAATTTGTTTTCTGACAGCCTGGGAGCAGCTCTGTCAGAGTAATCAGAGTTGTCCTGTCCGCCTGTTACCATTTAGAGGTCTCTCTTCTGTCATCACCATGAACAGAAATGTTGCCTCTAGCATTTGGCTGATACAAAAGCAAAGTCAGCAGCAGTAAGTTGGGAGCTAAGTGACAAAAAAAAGAAAACTTTCCAACTGAAATAGAAGGTTACACTCTACACTCCAGGAAATTAAGCTCTCTAATAAAAAGCAGGGACTAAAAAACCCCAAATAACACAGAGTGTAACATCCTAACAGTGGTAACCCTGTAGGGAGAGCATCACAGGGTGAAGGTTTATTACCTCGTTCATGTCAGCAAAAGCAGATATGCAAGGGAATGAATAGACTCTGGAAGAAAAGCAGACTTCACATGATACACTCAACAGTAGAGTCTGATTTTATGAAAGAAAATCATTAAGACTGGTTACTAATCTTATTGTTCAGAAGTAAATTCAGCTTGGAGAAGCTTAGAGAATATAGTATTTCAGTAGCAATGCATTTTCTTCATTGGTTTTACTTTCAAAACAGCTACCATTGAAATAAATACAATCTCCTAAGAACTTAATTATTCATGTAATGTAATCATTTTTTTTTTTTACTAAACCCCAAGTCACTTTGCAACCCTAGTTTTTCCCCTCTGCAGTAACAACAGCATCAGTTTAGTCTGTTGGTTCACAGCTTACCTTCTTTCATTCCCAAGCCTTTTATTTAGCTGGTTAAGAAATTTTCTGCAGTCCTTCAAGACAAATGACACCTCATTAAAAATCAAGCTACATTTCCTTTGCAAAGAATTATTCTATTGGGCTGTGTACCTCTACTCCAGTTATAAGGTTTTAACCAGTGTGATGCCTAAGGCCACTGAGGAAGAAAGACTCAAGTTGGTACAAATGATTGAACCTCCACTAATTACCAGCAAGTCTCCAAACATAGATGACAAAAATTAACTTATTTATGCTTTAGAAGTAAAGTAACTTAGAAATAAGAGCTATTTTAATGATATGTCATTTTATATTTGCTAGAGGAAAAAAAAAACAAACCAACTTTGTATATTTATAAAATCACTTTTGTAGGAACTACTTACAAGGACATCTTGACTGAACTCAACCAAAACCAGCCCCTATACAGATTTATCAAGTATGCTGTTTTCAAAATAAGGGCCCTCACCGTCTCAAATTCTCTATCCTTGATCTCTTTGAAAGCTTCAGCAAGATAGTTATCTTCAAACCAGTGGTGAACAAGGTCATCCCTCCATTTTTTTGTCATTAACCTACAAAGCGCTTCTGAAAGGGCAACCTGAAGGTCATAATCTACATGGTAAACATAAGCACAGGATAAATATTTCCTCCAGCATAACAGAGGGTTGTAGCACTGCTGCTCTTGCACAAATATATTAGACAGTCGTATTCATTAGCTAACTCCAGTTTCACCTGAGAGAACAGGGGAGGGGAAGAGCTGAATGTTAGCTCCAGGCATCCCTGGCTCAGTGAGGTTGAGGTGCAGGGTGCTGCTGATCACAACAGACATTCTTGAGAATCAAGGAGAGGATGAGAGCAAAGCCTCATCACTAACTCACTAGGATTAAGTTAGGTTTCATGTACCACAATAATGCCCTAGAAAGTGTTATTGCTACGAGAAAGCAAAAGAGATTTCACTCAGGAGGCTACAAACCTTATTAACCAGTTTGTCCACATTGTGGCAAAGTAGTTAAAATTTCTTTTTTTAAAGACTAACAGCCAGTGTACTTCAAAAACATGTACATAAAGCTGGTCTAATTACCTTTATACATACATCTGTTTAGCTTTTCTTATTAGTTAATATGAATTACTTATACTAGCCAGAAAACAACTAATGCACTGTGGTACCTAACAATTTTTGATTAATATTTTCTTAAAGTACTATCTGATTTTCCACCCCAAAAATCAACTCATGACAAGGAAATAATTTAAATTGGAATTCATCTATAATAAATAAGCAGATGAATTAAAGCTGGAGAACCCCAGCTTCATAAGAATAACCACTAAATACTTCTTACCACCAACCTCCAGTATAGTTTTTGCAAGGTCTTTCCTGAAACAACAGAATGCAACATGTTAAAGAGGAAATAACCTCAAGTCTTGTTGCAGGGAAGATGGTGTTTCTCTACAGGAGCTGGAGGGAAAATCACTTACGTGAGCGAACACATCTCCTCAGACAGAGGGAATTTCTTTTTCTCCTCCCGTGGGACACTGTCAAGTATAGAGTTGAGGGTCCTCAAAGCCTTTCTCCCCATGGAAGAAAGGGCAGAAAAGGACAGGAAATAATTTAGGAACATATTTTTCACATTTTGTATCTAATCACACACAATTTTGTGTGCACGTATCTGTAATTTTCTTCTCCTAGTAGGAGTCTTACCTCCTGCCTCAGAGCACAGCAGATATCTACTTCTGTCACCAGATGCCCTAGTTCAGGCAAAAATAAATTCACCAACTCTTTCCTCCCTAGAAAAATCATTTGAAAATTTACAGTTAGCAATGAGCTGGTCTCCATATATAAGATGGTTGAAGCAACTACAGTTTGGGATGTTGAAGAAGTAAAAGTATTCCAGTTGGGTACGCAGTTTTAAACAAAGCTTCTGTCTAGGATTAGATAGTTGGAAAAAGGGAACTGGTAACTTTTCTGTAAAAAAGCCACAGATAGTTACCCAGATCAGCAGTTAAAGTATTTAAATATGTACAGAATAGAGAAACTGCTTACTAACCACAAGAGATAAATCCATAATATACAGCTTTTGTCAATGTCAACAGAGCAAACCACTACAGCATTAACCAGAAGATGCTCATGCCAGCTCTGTTCTCTCTAGAATAAGCTACAAGGACAAATGAGTTCAAGTTACCCATCCAACAATGTAATGTTTCATTTTTACATGACTCATGAGCCTGGATGTCTGAGCAGATGGAGAGTTGCTCTTTCTGAAATCACCTGCTCCCCTGCCCTAATGGAAAGCCAGCTGCAGCCACAGACAAACTCTTTCCATTGAAACAAATGAGAGAGACAGTCATCCCTCTGTCTTGTTAGGATGGCTGAAGGAGTTAGCACATTATTTTGTGGTGATTGTTGCCTTCAGCACGGAAATAACACCTGAAGCCACTAGGAATAGACATGCAAGAGCAGCCGTAAACCCTTTCAAAAACACCACTTACTCTGACCAAGTGAAATACTTGATGCCAATCATTTAAACACAATACTACAGCTAGATTTTTTTTTTTTCAGCATATTCAATACAAGCTAAGAGAAAGAGTAAAAGGTTTTGTTGCTCCGATGTAAACAGTAATGAAAGTTATCTGGAGATAAATTAGCAGGAGAATTTAAAGAAAATATTGCAGAGAGAAGAGAAGGAGGTAGGGAACGGAGGGCAGAAGAGAAAGGGGATGGAGGTCAAGCAGAATTAAGAAAAGTGCTCCCAAAACTGCAATTTAGGATCTCAAGGAATGGAAGGAAAAACAATACTGACCTTCATTACTACACTTGCAAATCACCTGATGGAGGAAATAAAAGGAGCTTTTGTTAGCAGACCACAGCCCAAGAGCCGCAGTACTCAAAGGGCTGAGGCGTTTCTGCCCTCACTGTCACACTGTTTAGGGACTAAAATAACATAAAACAATACTGTACCCACATCAGTGCCACCTGATGCAGGTATATCCTGTATGGTCACCCCGATCGTACTGGTTGGCATTATGCAGAGAGGGTAAAGGGAGCAAAGCACCCACTTCCCCCAGGGATTTCAGCAGCACTCAAGAGCGCAGTGCCCTCAGGTTCCCCAGAAAACCCACATCGTGGCATTGCCTATGTAAAAACACATTTTATATTTACACACTACGTTACTATTTACTGTAACATATGATATATGAAGAGTATTAAAGTTCATTGATGAAAATTAAAAATAATAATAAAAAACCCCAAAACAAACCTACAAACCCAAACAAAACAACACTTCATCCTCCACAGTGAAAGCAATGGAAGAAATGGACCAGGAAGACACAGAAAACAGATTTTGACAAATAAATAATTTATAGACTATTTAATATAATTTCAATGTCATTAGTAGAGAAAGAAAAAAAATTGGGTTTGCTCAAATATCTTTTATCAACTCTTCTAAAAAGAGTCATAAGTATTCAAATAAATTCTGATTTATGAAGTGACACAGTTCCAGGAAGCTATAGACAAGATTGGGGGAACAGCTTGGGGAAAAGCATTCTTCCTACTCAAAATTTACATCACTAGGCCTCCAATACTTTCAAAATTATGAATAGTTAAAGTAGAAACCTAAATGAGAACTGTAAGCAATTCAAAGTTATTCTTTAAAAGTAAAATAGCTGTTTCAAACACCGTAGGAACAAATCTCCAGGGCCACCTTGGCAAACTGTAATAGTTTAACTAGCAGGCTCCTGGGCCCCACCCATCCCCACCACCTGAGCTGTGTCCCAGGATCAGTCTTAGGGCACAGAGTCTGCATAACTATTTATTTTTTAACAGAAAGCTGTTTGTGAACAATGGCTTTCTTATCCAATAAAGGCAACCCTTCTGCTTCCTTAATGCACATACATACCAATGCAGAGTCAAAGAAGTCTTCAAAAAGCAACATTAAAAATTTATTCTCGTTGGGGTCGATGATGGTCACAAATGCTCTTGCTCTTTCAAACCAAGATACTAGGTAAAAGTTAAAAAAAAAAAGTTAAAACCTTAGAAGAAGAGTTAATAATCCTTAAACTAGATATATCTGCAGGAAACCTTACACACAAACACAGGGGTTTTTTTAGTCCTTGAACTTCAGAGTTACCTTCTGTGCCAAAAGCTTCACAGCATTAAAGAGCTTGAATTTTCTAGGAGGACGTGAAAAATGCCACCTTCACACCCACTGAACAGGACTTATCCCCACTCCCCTCCCCAGCCCTCCTTTTGTCCTCCTTTCTCATCCCAAAACACCTGCTCTTGGTGCTCAGGACCTCCTTGGCACAATGCACGCTGCTTGTGGCATCCTAACACCTATGGAAACTTCAAGAGGACATCAATTCACAGTGAAATAATGTTTTTAAAATTCATCAAGCTTTTCCCAAGTCATTATTTTAATACTTTGTATTATCAAACATATTGCATAGTGTCACACACCTACAGCTAACTAGAAAGTTGCTTCACTGCAAGTCCAGAGCTCAGATTGATGAAACTTTATTAATAAATCCCACCATACAGGAATTTGGAGCAACTGTATCCCTGTAAAAGCGTAATTTCAGGACAGGATTAAAACATCTGGGACTGAGAACTCCTTGGTACAACTCTGCTTGTAGAGAATAAGTGTGAACTCTTCTCTCCTAGCTATGTTAGATCAAGGTATTACTCTTCATCAGCACAAGTGCATTTCTGCTGCTACAAGTATTACCAGATGAAATCAGTAGTATGACATCAGAAGTTAAAATCCAATTGCAGATTAAATGCATCTGGTTTACTATGTATCTAAAAAGGGACCTTCATAAAGAGTGGATCAGCTTTTGAAATTATAAAGTACAAGCTGCTCAGCAATTTTATTAGTACAATTGTGTTTTGCTACAGCACTTAAAATACATTTAGAAATTCTATATAACTTCACAGATAGGACTTGTCAAAGCTCATCCTCTCCTTCCAATTGTCAGCTTAAAAAAAAGCCCACCACAAACCCATTAAGTCAGGTGATATGTGAAGCCACAATGCTAGCTGCTGTATTGAAAGTAATGTAATGAAATTAAGATTTTTTTTCTCACTCAGCTCATGTAATATCTTAAATATATATATATATATTTGTTTCTGCATGGCCAACAAGCCATCCTCTATTTCTCACTTCCTTGGAGTTCTTTTTTTTGATGCAAGCAACTTTAAATCGCGTAACTTGTCTATGACATTATACTCATCTTTTCCACCACTCCTTGCTCAATAAAGAGACTCGTCCCTTCTTGAAGATCACTTCTAAAGTAGAGCTGAATACATTTCAGTAGCAGCGAAACGTTCTGGAATTCATTCTTGTCCAGCTCCTACAGGAACACAGAGCACTGTGCTTTATTAGTTTGATACCCATTGAGCTGGGCATTAAAATCATTAAAATTATTGTTGGTACTTACCTTTCTCAGGGCTTTGTCTAGCTGGTTGAAGAGAGATGTGCTGTATTTCTGGGGAGGCTCTATTTCTCTCTCCTGAAGCAGTTCACTTATTTTCTGAAACCCCTTCCCCTTAAAAGCATCCATGAGAAGCAATTCAAGCTGCAGAGGGAGGGGAAGTAAAAAACTAGTGAGTAAAAGGAGGCATTTAAATTGTTGCAGCAAAGATTATGAGAAAAACACTTGTAATGTATTTAATATAATACTTGTAAATGTATTTTAATAGTTGAAGGCTTTCTATATATTTGTTTTTACTTTGTTTGTGTCTCTATTTTCATTTTACTGTTACAACTGAAGGTGAAATATCAGTCTTAATCTCCAAAAGAGGCAGGACTTTAAAAACTTAGTAATCTTAAAGGATACCAAATAAGGAAATAAGCAACTCCTCTAGTGTACTCAATTTGTAATTCTTACTATGTCCTGCAACTATTACAATCGTTTCTTCCTTCTTACTAAAGAAAAAATTAAGGGGTCTTAATCTAATGCTGCTTTTCCCTCATTACATTAAATTACAAAAAATTCGAGGTCATGGCATATCCATTTAAGACTATATTTAAATATAAATATTTGCAAGGTAAAGCTAAGGATGCATTTAAAAAATATTTACATAGTCTTCTGTCATGTTACCATTCACTTCTCTACTCCATTCTTCACTTTTTTCTTCCTTTAAAAATAAAAGGCAGAGAAAAACACAGAGAAATATACAGAAAAAACCTGCTTTTTCTACCCAAAAGCTGAAGACCATTTACTCCCCCTCTCTCTCCTAAAAGCCTATTTTTTCCTTCTTTATTTCTCAAGGAAAACTTCAACAGCCACCTCACACTTCCAAACATGAGGGTCACCAAAGCCACCCCTATAAGAAGCCGTAGCGGAGCCCCACGCTGCCCCCCTTGGGGTGGGATCCCACTGTGTGTGTCGCGTTTATCCCCCCACAGCAGCCCCCGACCCAGCTGCCGATTCCCCGCCGCGGGGAGGGGCACTTACCTGGGCCATGACCCTGGGGGTTGATCCGAGCTGCAGCTCCACGGCGGAGGCGACCCAGGAGCTGGGGGTGGGTGGGGGGAATGGAAGGTGCTAGGGCCGCTTCACCCCCTCCCCACGACCCTCACACGATACGAAATGCTCTCCTTTTCCGCAGCAAACCCAACTCCAGCCCCCTCTGGAGGGAAATTAAAAGTGAGGAGAAAAAAGCCGGGTTCCGCACTCGCAGTAACAAGCCGCACCTGTGTGTGTGTTTTTTGGGTGGGTGAGGAGACTCGGCCGGACCCCCCGCACCCAGGTGTTGCCGTTTGGCTCCAGATCCGAGCCAGTGGGTACAAAAGGGGAGCCCCGGGCTGCTGGGAAGAGATCCCAGTCGATAGGTTTTGCCACGAACTTGTTTTTATTTTGCAAAATTAAGGGTAAAGCTTAGTGCCCTTTTAGAGGGGGTGGAAGGAAACAAATGAGAAAAATCCATCAGAACAGGTAGGATCAGTTAAAGGGTTATAGCAGCTCTAGACGTTCAATGGTTTTGTTTCTATAATGTTATGTACGCTTTAACTTTTTCCTTTATGTTTCAGAGAGCTAAAAGTAAGCTTCCCCCTTTCCCAAAAAAAAAAAAAAAAAAAATCCCAGAAAACAATCAACCACTCTTTCTTTCCAAAAAAAAAGGCAATAAAATATATTACCTATAACTTTCTAATATGTTAAAATGTGCCAATCAATAAGATAGCACAGACTCTAACCTCTAGCTTCGTGGTTTAAACCTTATGCCTAATAATTCTTAACACTTAATTCGTTTAGATCTAAATTTAAAGAGTGGGTGTACACAAGTATTTAAGGAAAAGCAGGTGATTTATACAGATTACCCCCCCCCCAAAAATCTTTTTTATTATTTTTTTTTTAGCCCCTTTGACTCTCTCCAGGGGCTCTTCCAGCTGCGGGCACCTGAGAGCTATGCTCGAGTCAAATATAAGGAGCACCCCCTAGGAGATGGAGACCCCCCTGGAACAAGCGGCAGAGCTCTGCTGCTGCCGGACCCTCCCCAAATTTACAGAGGTCACAGCCCCCGGTGCTGGGGGGGGTGGGATTAGAGTAAGACCCCCCCTTTAGCTGCCCCCCCAGCTCTGTGTCACCGCAGCGAAGCCCATTTGGGGGAAGGGGGGCAGTGTAGCCCCTGCCC